TCTTTCTCTTCTTTCTTTTCTCTTTCTTTCTTTCTTTCTTTCTTTCTTTCTTTCTTTTTCTTTGGCTCTTCCTTTCAGGCACTGTTTCTTTTTCTTTCTTTCTCTTTCGTTCTTTCTTTCTTTCTTTTTTCTTTCAACTCTTTCTTCAAGGCTCTTCCTTTCAGGCACTCTTGACGGGTTTTCTTTCTTTCTTTCTTTCTTTCACCTCTTTTTCTCTCTTCCTTTCTTTCTTTCTTTCTTTCTTTCTTTCACACTCTTTCTTAAAGCTCTTCCTTTCCAAGCACTCTTTCTTTCTTTCTTTCTTTCTTTTCTTTCTTTCTTTTTTTTTCTTTCTTTCACTCTTTCTTCAAGGCTCTTCCTTTCAGGCTTTCTTTTCTTTCTTTCATCTTTTTCTCTTTCTTTCTTTCTTTCTTTCTTTCTTTCTTTCTTTTCACACTCTTTCTCCAAGGCTCTTCCTTTCAGGCACTCTTTCTTTCTTTTCCCTTTCTCTTTCTTTCTTTTCTTTCTTTCTTTCTTTTCACACTCTTTCTTCCAAGGCTCTTCCTTTCAGGCCTTTTTTCTTTTTTCTTTTCTTTCTTTCTTTCTCTCTTTCTTTATTTCTTTCTTTCTTTCTTTCCCTCTTTCTTCCAAGGCTCTTCCTTTCAGGCACTGTTTCTTTCTTTTTCTCTCTTTCTTTCTTTCTTTCTTTCTTTCTTTCTTTCTTTCTTTCTTTCGGGCGGGAGGAACTCAGATAAGGCTTTCCTTCAAGGCTCTTCCTTTTTCAGGCACTCTTTCTTTCTTTTTCTTTCTCTCTTTCTTTCTTTCTTTCTTTTTTCCCCTTTCTTTCTTTCTTTCTTTCTTTCTTTTCTTTCTTTCTTTTCTTTCTCCAAGCCTTCTTCCTTTCATGCGCTCTTTCTTTCTTTCTTTCTTTCTCTCTTTCTTTCTTTCTTTTTCTTTCTTTCTTTCTTCTTCAAAGGCTCTTCCTTTCAGGCACTCTTTCTTTCTTTCTTTCTCTCTTTCTTTCTTTTCTCTTTCTTTCTTTCACTCTTTCTTCAATGCTCTTCCTTTCAGGCACTCTTTCTTTCTTTCTTCTTTCTTTCTTTCTTTCTCTCTCTTTCTTTTCTTTTCTTTTTTCTTTCTTTCTTTCTTTCTTTCTTTCTTTTTCTTTCTTTCTTTGTTTCTTTCAGGCACTCCTTTCTTTCTTTCTCTCTTTCTTTCTTTCTTTCTTTCTTTCACACTCTTTCTCCAAGGCTCTTCCTTTCAGGCACTCTTTCTTTCTTTCTTTCTTTCTTTCTTTTCTTTCTTTCTTTTTCTTTCTTCCTTTCTTTCTTTCTTTCTTTCTTTCTTTTCTCTTCTTTCTTTCTTTCACTCTTTTTTCTTTTTCTTCTGTCTTTCTTTCTTTCTTTCTTTCTTTCTTTTTTCTCTTTTTTTTCTTTCTTTCTTTCCTACTGTTTTTCACACTTTCTTTCTTTTCTCTTTCTTTCTTTTCTTTCTTTCACCTCTTTCTTCAAAGGCTCTTCCTTTTCAAGGCACTGTTTCTTTCTTTCTTTCTTTCTTTCTTTCTCTCTTCTTTTCTTTCTTTCTTTTCTTTCTTTCTTTCACTCTTTTTCAAAGGCTCTTCCTTTTTCAGGCACAGGTTCTCTTTCTTTTTTTCTTTCTTTCTTGTCTTTCTTTCTTTCTTTTTTTTTTCTTTTTCTTTCTTTCTTTTTTCTTTCTTTTCTTCTTAAGGCTCTTCCTTTCCAGGCACTGTTTCTTTCTTTCTTTCTTTCTTTCTTTCTTTCTTTTTTCTTTCTTTTCTTTTTCCTTTCTTTTTTCTTTCTTTCTCTTTTTTTTCTTTTCTTTCTTTTCTTTTCCCTTTCAGGCTCTTCTTTCTTTCTTCTTTCTTTCTTCTTTCTCTCTCTTTCTTTCTTTCTTTCTTTCACACTCTTTCTTCAAGGCTCTTCCTTTCAGGCACTCTTTCTTTCTTTCTCTCTTTCTCTCTTTCTTTCTTTCTTTCTTTCTTTCTTTCTTTCTTTCCTCTTCCTTTCAGGCCCTGTTTCTTTCTTTTCTTTCTTTTCTTTCTTTTCTTTCTTTTTCTTTCTTTCTTTCTTTCCTCTTTCTTCAAAGGCTCTTCCTTTCAAGGCCTCTTTCTTTCTTTCTTTCTTTCTTTCTTTCTTTCTTTCTTTCTTTCTTTCTTTTCACACTCTTTCTTCAAGGCTCTTCCTTTCAGAGCACTATTTCTATTTCTTCTCTTCCTTTTCTTTCTTTCTTTTTCTTTCTTTCTTTCTTTCTTTCTTTCTTTCTTTCTTTCTTTCCTTTCTTCAGGCTCTTTCCTTTCAGGCACTCTTTCTTTCTTTTCTTTCTTTCTTTCTTTTCTTTCTTTTCACACTCTTTCTTCAAGGCTCTTCCTTTCAGGCACTGTTTCTTTCTTTCTTTCTTTCTTTCTTTCTTTCTTTGCCATTTCCCACATAATTCGTTTTCTTCTTTTTTTTCTTACCAATTTTCTCATGATGCTTTCTTTTTTCTTTCTTTTTTCTTTCTTTTTTCTTTCTTTTTTCTTTCTTTGCTAGTTTCCTCATAATTCGTTTTCTTCTTTTTTCTTAACATTTTCTGATGATATTTTTTCTTCTTTTTTCTTTCTTCTTTATTCTTTCTTTCTTTCTTTCTTTCTCTCATAATTCGTTTTCTTCTTTTTTCTTACCAATTTTCTCATGATACTTTCTTTCTTTCTTCTTTCTTTCTTCCTTTCTTTCTTTTGTTTTCCTTTCTTTCTTTCGTTTTCCTTTTTTTTCTTTCTTTTTTTCTTTGCCCGTTCCTTCATAATTTTCTTTTTTTTCTTACCAATTTTCTCATGGTGTTTTCTTTCTAAATTTCTTTCTAAATTTCTTTCTTTTTCAATTTCTTTCTTTTCTATATTTGCTTTTTGCGTCCTTTTTACCCAGCACTTTTTCTTCATTTTTCCTTGTTTATCTTTTTTCACTGACATCCCGCCTTTCTCTTTACTCAATCTAAAAACGTTTTTCTCCTACTAATTCCATCAGCCACTTAAACACGAACATCCTCCGTTCTCCTCTACACACACGCAAACACACACACACACACACACAAACACGCACAGACGCACGGATACAAATACGCGTTTACATTCCTCGTGCATTTCATTAATTTTCTCGGATTCTCGCTGGCTCTTCTCTTCAAATTCGCTATCATTCAGCTTCCAGCTTTTATAAATAAATATACACCCCGTCCTGCCACGCCTTCCCACCAGCCACACCACGTCTTTAAACAAATAGCTAAATATGTCTACTAACAGCTATCTACTGTTTCTCTCTCACGATCTGTCTCCTACTTCATAGATCAACCGGGGATGCGCGCGCAACCTCAACTCACCACACACACCCATCAATATATATATATATATATATATATATATATATATATATATATAAAAAATGACCGCAATTGGCTCCCTACTCGACTATTACCAAGTGGAATCACTCACAATTTTGCTGATACATAAGGCCTCGTACATCCATCGAGTGGAGGCCAAGAAAAGAATTCTTCAATATACCTACATAGATAGTGAGAAACGAAGTGCTCACAAGTTAATTCGCTGCGCACAGGGAGAGGAAGGTTGGAACAGCGAAGTGGGCATTCACCTATAATATGTTCATGTGCACAAATCGTACAGGATTTAAGAGATTTAAAAAAAAAAAAAAGCCTATATTATTATTATTATTATCACTATCATTATTATTATTATTATTGCTGTCATTATTATTATTAGTAGTAGTAGTAGTAATAGCATTATATTATTATATATTATATATATGTATATATGCAACATATTATCAAATGCAGTAAATGTGCAAAAAATATCGAATAAATACATCATTTTCATGGTTATGATAGATAGACATGAGAAAGAAGATAAGATTGAAAACATTTTAGAGAGAGATAGAGAGATAGATGATAGATAGATATATATATAGATATATAGATGAAAATATATATATATATATATATATATATATATATATATATAATAATAATATATACAAAAGGCAAATAGAATATGTATGTAGCACATCACAATAAATACATCATTACATCAATATAACCATATAAATTAATATTGAATAGATAAATAATAGATGTGAATAGATAGATGAATAGATAGATAGATGAATGAATAGATAATAGTATGGATAATGGAAAACATTTTAGAGAGAGAGAGAAGAGAGAGAGAGAGATAGATAGATAGATAGATAGATAGATAGATAGATTTAGATAGATAGATAATGAAAACATTTAGATAGATATAGATAGATATAGATAGATAAAGATAGATGAATGAATAATGAAAACATTTAGATAGATAGATAGATAGATAGATAGATAGATAGATAGATAGATAGATAGATTTTACAGTCTATTCTGTAAATTCTAGATGCGGGCATTCTTCTATTTTTTTTTTTTTTTACTCTTGTTGGCCCAATCTAAAGCAAAAGAACAACTCAAGGTAGAGATTTACTGAAGGAGGCTGTTCTATGAGCGTAGGATGACGGGGGTAAGAAGTGCAGTTTACGAAGATATGTGAGGAAAGATAATGATTAACGCTAGACTTAAATAGTTTAAAACTGTAGTGATCGGGAAATCATCCTCTTGGGAGTCTGTTGCACAAACCATCGGCTGTTGAGAAGAAGCTGTCCGAGTGGAACTTCCTTCTTAATAATGGAATACGAAGAGCATAGAGATGGTTCGGGGCATGCCGAGTCTTAGGTGTGAGGGTCAGAGCTGATGGAACTAAGGAATCTAGCTCTCGAGAACATTTGCCATTTAAATAATAGATATAGTAGGGAGAACCTTAAGACCTTTCATCTGTGGGAGAGAAGTTGTAAGTTGAGAAAAAAAAAATTCATCACCCACAAGTCTGCGTACACACGTTTCAACTCTATCAAGAACGAAAAGTGTGGTCTGTGCTGCTCCAGCATCTCTCTCTCTCTCTCTCTCTCTCTCTCTCTCTCTCTCTCTCTCTCTCTCTCTCTCTCTCTCTCTCTTAAACGGCTCTTGTATTCAGTCAGTCAGTAATGTGCCATGCGTGATACACGCTTAGGCGATCATGCATCTTTCGATACATGACTGACGAGGCAAATTTTTTTCCGGCAGTAGATTGCCATTTTCTGCGGTAGACCAGTTGGCATCCCAGGCTATAGAACCCGGCCTGTCCTGCCTTTTACCCATAGCTGGAAGGAGAAGGAGAGCATTCATTCGTTTCCAAAGGGTCAGTCAGTTATGTGCCATGCGTGATATACGCTTAGGCGATCACGTATTTTTCGATAAATGAGTGACGAGGCAGATTTTTTCCTAAAGTAGGTTACCATTTCTTTCTGCGGTAGACCAGTTGGCATCCCAGGCTATACAACTCGGTTTGTCCTCCTATTTACCCATATCTGAGGGGAGAAGAAGAGGATACATACCTTTCCCAAGGGTCAGTCAGTAATGTGTCATGCGTTAAACACGCTGAGGCGATCACGTATTTTTCGATAAATGACTGACGAGGCAGATTTTTTGACGGCAATAGGTTACCATTTCTTTCTGCGGTAGACCAAATGACATCCAAGGCTATAGAACTCAGTTTGTCATGCTATTTATCCCTAGCTGGGGGGGAGAAGAAGAGGATTCATACCTTTCCCAAGAGTATTAGTACGTAAGGGAATGTAATGGATTCGACTGGAATTCGAATTACCAGCCCTAATTCTATATCTTAACCATATCCATAACGCCTAATACCAACCCTTCACCCTATCTCTAACACTTAGGGAAGTTAAGCAAATTTGAGGCTGGTCACTACTTAGATGGGTGACCGTTTGAGAATGCCAGCTGAGATTGGATTAGCGCTTGTTTTAATGGATAATTGCTCGGAATTGTTAATCGAGAACTGAGTTCCAATTGATTCGTTATATTCTTTTTGACGCAAATACCCTTGGGAATTGTATAAATCCACCTCTTCTCCCCGCTATGGGTTAATTAGTATCACTAAACCGTTATTATCTTTTAAAAATTCTTACATTCTATGTTCAAAAATTAATATAATGTGATTTTCTAGAATTTTTTTTAAAATTCTATCTCACTTTCAAGATGGACATACCCTGAATATTATAGACCGTTCCTTTTTTTTAAATCAGCAGGGGATGAAATACTTAATTTCCCCATTGTAGATAGTAGTTGGAGAAGTTTGGTATTTACTAGGACGTGACAAGGAACCGATAATTTTTATAGCATCTTTAGAGATTAATAATATTGATGACTTCCAATTCGGGTCTGGAGTTCCAACACGCGTTTGAGACAAGGACCCTCCTTGAGAGAACAACCTTGAGAGGTGAAGATTCATAGTCGGCAGAAATGTAATAAATTCTTAAGGTATTCAATGTTACCAGCCAGTTATTCCTCCATTGAGCTGTAAGAGCAAGATCACAGGAAAGATCAGTTACCAGGCTTTGGTCATCTAAATATTTGGAGCTGCACCAAAATCAGAAAGATGATTGAGCCGAGCCGAGAAGAGACTCTTGGAGAACGCCGGTGTTGATCGCATGATCTCCAGAAGACTCCATTTTCAACGACCTTCAGGGACCTACCTTCTATTTGCTGAGATTCCATAGCTGGAGAATTTGTTTAGCGACACTCAATGCCACACATTGTCTATGAGATATCTAAGGTGATCTTCCTTGATATGAATTGATTATCTACTTACTGCCTCACTGATTCTCGTCGTAATGACAATAAAATCAGCAATGGACGTAGCAAACTAAAACCAATACTGTTTGTCGCTCAGGTGGTTGTTCCAGTTGAAGTGATCAACTTCTAGTTCATCATACACGCAAAGAGTTTGCTGATGACACTAAGTAGACTGATGTGACACCGATGGGCGTTCACCCATATCATTGAAAACAGACTATACAACAGATACTGTCCATAGATTTTGGAAGTATTTCTCCTTCAGGCAGCGGTTAAAAAACCAAAATTGAAGATAACATTGAGCGAATGTTCGTAAAAACAAGCATAAGCTTTTTTCTGGACCTATTTTTTTTTACAGTAAGGTTCACCCTGTACAAGGCACATGAGCCACTCAAGGTAGAGGGTTATATTAAGAGGCAGTTTATCCGGATAGGAGAGGAAGATAGCGGTTAACCCTAGATTTGAACAGGTTAAAATTGTAGTGATTGGAGAAACATACCTTTGGGAGTCGATTCTACAGGAAGAAGCTGTTCGAGGGGAACTTCTCGCCAATGGAACACGGTGGTAATTGTGAGTTGTTTGTTAGAATGCGGGTGGCATGACGGGTCTTAGAACTAGCGGAACCAAAGAATATAGCTCGTCCGATCACTTTCCATGGAAACAGCGATAGAGCAGTGAGAGGCTTGTTACATCCCGGGTGTGAGAAAGAGGTTGAAGGGTGGAAAATAATTGCCGCCCACAAGGCATCGGAAGCACTTTGGGACAATATCGAGACTGGAGAGTAAGGACCGGGCAGCTTCCGGTCAAATATGACAACAATACTCCATTTACGCCTGATCTGGCTTTTGTAAAGGTAGAGCATGGCATGCAGAGTCTGGTGTTTGCTGGAGCGGTACAGGGAGCCGCGACTATTTTTTCGGTATTTTTTGCGATATATGAGTGCCACTTGAGGGTTAGGTGTGAGTTTAAGGCCTAATAGCCCCTCAAGACACGGGGCCTACTCGAAGGGACTGGAGCTTTCTTTGGGTCGAGACTTTTGATTAATATAGAAACTTTCCGTGAAAGGGATATTGCAAAGTTTGTGCTCCGTGAGAGTCATGTAGGGTCCAGGCCTTATCGTTTAAGGTAGAATCAGGCGCAAACTACGTTATAATGACTCTTACTCTATTTTACGAGGATGAAACAATCTCTGGACCATTTAGGATATTAGGCATTGTCGCTTTGACTCTACTGAGAATTCAAAAGATTTTAAAGAAATTATGGGAACTAAGTCTATTGTTTTCAACATTTGTCTGTGCATAGCCGCTGGTTGCATTTCTTAGAACACTGTTTCAAGGATTGTAGACAGCAATGAATGCGGTAAATGCCTTACTGCTTCACGCTGTGTGATACAGATGACATTAGCGCTTATGGCTGCTTCAGATCTTAGTGTTAATCAAAGCTGGCGTTTCAGGTTTTGTCGGTGTTTTTTTTCTTCTCTGGGGTAAAACATTACATACCAGAAATGATCCATTCAGAAAAAAAAGGCAAGCATACTGAACGAAAAGCTTCCGCAATATAAGATCACAAGGTTTGGTCCTATCGAATGGGACCTCGGGTGATGCCTTCGGTTTTGGCATTAACTTTGACATTGATCAGAGAGTGGTCTGAAGTGCACGAGAATTGTAACACTTCAGTGGGGCATTTTTCGGGACAAGACGCAAAAATGAGGTCGTTGAGGTTTGCGTTGATACCCCATTGTGCCAGGAACACGAGTGGGCTTACCAACGATCTGCGTCAGTTCGTAAGCAATGGAGAGAAATCATGTCAGCCTCTACCGTCTTCATCAGTTTTGTTTGAGTAGACTGACCACTCCTTTTGGCGAATACAGAGATCACCATAAATATGAGCACTAGCTTCGGGATAGCCAGAGAGGTTATAAATATTTTTTAGCTATTTCGTCAAACATTACAAATCCATCATTCGACAGACGGTGAAAACAAATGACATACTGTGAACGAGAGCCATACCGGAAATACACGAACCGGAAATAAAGGTCTTCGTTTTGCGAATCTCTTTCACCTGTCATTAAGCATGTTGATTTTGGGAGTTTTGTTTTACTTTTAGGGGTGACTCGCTGGGGATTATGAATTCCTTTCCTGAGTTAGGGAGACAGAGAACGGTTTCAGAGAGAAACATGAGGTTAGGTTTGACTTCTTGAAGATGGAATATTGGAATCTGTCCATATTTCTGAGATGAGGTATTATGTACATTATTTACATTATTCGGACTATTGTCCTCATCTTTGTCGCCATATTTATTACAACGTTTCGGCCTTTCAGTTTCTACATTCTATATTTCTGAGATGAGGTATTATGTACATTATTTACATTATTCGGACTATTGTCCTCATCTTTGTCGCCATATTTATTACAACGTTTCGGCCTTTCAGTATCTGTCCATATTTCTGAGATGAGGTATTATGTACATTATTTACATTATTCGGACTATTGTCCTCATCTTTGTCGCCATATTTATTACAACGTTTCGGCCTTTCAGTATCTGTCCATATTTCTGAGATGGTATTATGTACATTATTTACATTATTCGGACTATTGTCCTCATCTTTGTCGCCATATTTATTACAACGTTTCGGCCTTTCAGTATCTGTCCATATTTCTGAGATGAGGTATTATGTACATTATTTACATTATTCGGACTATTGTCCCTCATCTTTGTCGCCATATTTATTACAACGTTTCGGCCTTTCAGTATCTGTCCATATTTCTGAGATGAGGTATTATGTACATTATTTACATTATTCGGACTATTGTCCTCATCTTTGTCGCCATATTTATTACAACGTTTCGGCCTTTCAGTATCTGTCCATATTTCTGAGATGAGGTATTATGTACATTATTTACATTATTCGGACTATTGTCCTCATCTTTGTCGCCATATTTATTACAACGTTTCGGCCTTTCAGTATCTGTCCATATTTCTGAGATGAGGTATTATGTACATTATTTACATTATTCGGACTATTGCCCTCATCTTTGTCGCCATATTTATCACAACGTTTCGGCCGTTGTACGCTCCGGCCTTCTTCAGGCGGTTGGAATTTCGAACTGAACCCTTTATTTCGCTCACTGGGGTAGACTGTTCTAGTTCCACGTGCCATGTTTGATGGATGTCAGTTATCAGTTATCTCCTGCTAATTTCCCTCTGAAAGTTCTCCACTGCCTTGACCGGGTATTGAACTCACACTCTTTGGGTCCTGTCACTGGATCTAACCAACGCCTTTATCCAATGTGCCATGTGTCCTTAAGGATAAATATGGCGACAAAGATGAGGACAATAAT